TTGCCTTCCCCTCTCAGTTGTTTTGGGCTCAGTTGCTCATGCCCTCCTCTATTTCTATTTGAACAACTCCTAATATTCACACCTCTAGACTACAGTTCGTTCCTCTGCTCTCAAGCCTGTATTTAACCACAGACAGTGTCTAAGAGACAATAATGTTTTATGTTGTACAAGTAAACGCCTGGTTTGCATCTCTCCAGAAGGGCTCTGCGGGCATCCTTCTGCGTGGTACTTAATGACGTTATCCCTCACTCTACTGGAAAAGCTATGTCACCTTTAAGGATTGGTAGGGTTGAAAAACCTTTTATTAGAATGTAGTGTTAATAATACTGTATTGTCAGTGCTGAGTGACCAACTTAAAGTCACTGAGCCAGAGTCAGGAAGAGCTGAGTATCACGTACTCTCATATGCTGGTGTCTGGACATACGACCATGATTTTTAAAATTCTCTTTCTCCCATTAACAGGGTGAGGTAATTTGACATTCAATTCAATTCCTGCTTCTTACTATTTTTCTCCATTCCTTCACTCCATGCTTCCATGAAGTTTTACCAAGTTTTTCTTCTTAGATGGCCTCTCTGCATCTAATGCTTATTTAGTTCCAACCCATCTTCTCTCCCGATTAGAAGTCCGAGTGAAGATGTCAGCAGATAAATACAAGCATGTGACATCCATACAGAAAATGCATCCTTCATTTTTCTGAACCTTCGGGATACAGCCTGACTCTTCACTCTGGTCCACACAGCTCCACATAGCCTGACACCACAGTCCTCTCTTACCTCAAGTTCCAGAGATATCCTCACGCTTCACTCTGCTGCTCCTGGCTTACTCCTGCCCTCACTACAACTTGGCATCCTTCCAGAAGATCCTGCCACCACCTGGCAGCCCTGGAGGCTCCCTCTCTCGTGCCCTATTTCTGTCTTTCCTCAAGTGAAAGCAGTTTTGAGGGCGCCGTGGCTCATTCTGTAGTTCCTCTCCAATGGCCCCGTGACACTGTAGGTTCTGTAAGGCCAGGCGGGGTCAGATTCTTTGTTTCTTGTTCACTGCTCATTCTCAGCTGCTACCCTGGTGCCTGGCACAGCAGAAGATAAGCAAATGGCATAGAGGTATTGACCTGAGAATGGAAAAATAATTACTCTGGCATCAAAAGGGAAACGGGCAGAATCATCTGCAGATAGGAAGTTGCTTAGCAGATGAGGGCAGAGAATTTGTTCCGTCCTAGAAGGGTATCTCAGTTTTCTCAGAATATTAGGTTTGCTCAGGAAGCATATGGTATGCACAATTTGTAGGGATTCAAACTCAGGAAAGGGTAGCAGTTTATATGTGACTTTGAAGTGTACAGGTTGACGTTAAGCCCTGAGCACCAGGGACCTATGAGTGCTTAATTAGCATCTTGATTTCTGTATGCATTCATAGTGGGAAGAGTCTCATATCGCCGTCTGTTCTGTCCTCTTCATCAGTGGAAGCGGTCATTTCCTTGAAGCTGAGGAACATGGAGGTGTACATGGGATTGATACCATGTGCTCACTTCACAGGTCAACTTCTTAATTTGCTTTCCAGATGCCACTGTCATTCATGATATCCATGAAGAGAAGATGGAAAATGGGCAAAGCGCAGCTGATGGCTTCTTATTAAAATCTGCTCCGGCAGAGTTTATGAATGTGGCAGAAGACAGCCTTTTATCCAACCAATTGGATTCACTGTCTGATGACTTTACTGGTCTCCGGAAAGATGGATTCATTCACAAACCTAGTAATAATTTACTCATAGGAGGAGACAAAAGCTGCAGTCTTTCTGTAGATGACAGAAAAATTGCAATGGCGTCTGCTTTGGAAACTGTGCCAAATTCAATGCAAATCACTCCTGCCATGGCACAAGGCATCAATGCTGACATCAAGCACCAGCTGATGAAGGAAGTTCGAAAGTTCGGACGGAGTAAGTAGTGATGGAGTATCTATAAGAAATGCAATTGGAGAATCCCTCTTGTATCATTCTCAAGAGATTTCTACTGTTGGTTTTGAGACAGTCTCTCATACAGCTCAGGCTGGCCTTGAACTCTCTATGTGGTCCAGACTGCTGATATTGCCTGATCTTCCTGTCTCTAACTCTATAGTGCTCACATTACAGGGATGTGCTGCCACAGTCAATTAATGTGCTACTAAGGATTGGACCCAGAGTCTCATGCTTGTTAGGTACCCTTAGCCCCAGACTAGAGTCTGCTCATACAATTTGTGGTCAGTCTTGGGCTTTCACATGACTTAACGTGATTCTTCTGGCCTTAATTTACAGTGGTTTCATTTTGCTGCTTTAACAAGTTACCAGATTCCCATCGCTTCAGACAGCACAAGCTGATTACTTCACAGCTCTGCAATTCAGACTATTTTTCACTGGACTAAAGTGAAGGCAAGCTGGCAGGCCAGTGCTGCTTCTCAGGGATAAAGGCAGAGTCTGTTTCCTTGCCTTTTCTGGCTTCTGCAGGCTGGCTGCATTTGCTGTGCCCGTGGTCCCTTCCTGCATCAACTCAGCAGTAGAATACTTTTTTTCTTTTGCTTTCCACTTCTGTTCTTAATGTCTTTTCTCTCTGACCTTTAAGATTTCATTTGTTAGTCAGGTGGTGGTGGTAGCATATACCTTTAATCCTAGCACTAGGAAGATAGAGGCAGATAGATCTCTGAGTTCGAGGCATGATGGTGGCATACACCTTTAATCCTAGCACTGGGAAGATAGAGGCAGAGTTCTGAGTTCGAGGCCAGAGAGAGTGCCAGTACAGCCAGGACTACACAAAGAAACCCTATCTAAAAATAAATAAATAAGGAAAGAAAAAATTTTAATTTTAGATTAATCTTTGTGATTGTTTACAATATATTTTGATCATATTCATTCCCAACTTCTCTCTTCTAGATCCACACCACCTCCTACCCCCTCAACTTCCTCTCCTCTTTTTTTTTAGTAACTGGTTGAATCTACCTTGCACTCCTGGGTGCAAGGTCGTCCACTACCATGGGCAATACTCTCAAACAAACTGATTCTCCCTCTTCCAGAAGCAATCAAATGTCTATGCTATTCCATCTTAAAAGGATATTACGGCTACATTGAACCCTTGTGCATAAACCGGGACAAACTCAATATCCATAATCTAATTCCATCAGCATATAAAGCATATATGGTAATAAATTCACAGGCTTCATGGGTTAGGGCAGTTTGGGGCAACCAGTATTCAGTGTACCTCATTTGAGTACTGTTTATAAGAATTTCTTTCATGAATGTATGTAGACATTTTTATTTTAGTGTTTAACATACAAGCTGTGCTTATGACTTTCTACCCATAAAGAATGATTTCTGAGGATGCATGATTGAATTTTATTTCTCATTCATATTTTTATAATTCTAAATTTTGTAATATCACCAGAGTATGAAAGGATTTTCATTTTGCTTGAAGAAGTGCAGGGACCTCTGGAGACAAAGAAACAGTTTGTTGAGTTCACCATCAAGGAAGCTGCAAGGTGGGTATAAAGAAAACTTCTAAAGGTTTCTAATTGTTTGGGGTATTGTTTTTCTTTTCTTTTGTTTACTTTAGTTGTTGGATCCAAGGAAAGACAAAGAGGGGAATAGGCTCTGCCTTAATCTGTGAAAGAGAACACTTGTCCCCACTCAGAGTTAAAGCTGCTTCCTACAGTGTTCAGATGGAAAGACCAGAGTCCTGATTCATGGCTCCTAGCTAGTGCGTGCGTGCGTGCGTGCGTGTGTGCGTTCGTGCGTGCGTGCATGTGTATGTGTGTGTCTTAGATTGGCCCTCGCATTTGCTAAGCCATACCTTTGCATGAGGGTGACTTATACTCCCTTTGGATTGCACGCTACACAGCACTCTGCACACTGTCAAGTCTTCTATGATGATCAATAATATTTCTTTTTATTTTTCAGGTTTAAAAGAAGAGTCTTAATTCAGTACCTTGAGAAGGTACTAGAAAAAATAGATTCCCATCCCCTTCTTAACAATGTGAATCACATCAACAGCAGATCATCATGTTAATACCAAGACAAGTGAGGAATAAGAAACACCTTTTCTATGCTGTAGGCTGGAATGGGACCTTCCTGAAGCCCTCTAGAATGTTTGAGTGAAGGGAATGAATGACCTAACTCGGGCTAAGAAAAGCGCTTGACTAGAGCTTTTAATGATTATCTGGAAGTAAAAGCTGGGCTTCCGCCTTAAGAGTTATAATCGAAAGTATTTTTTCTTATTTCATTGTTTATTTTTCCAGTTAGGAAAAGCGATGTGAAATCACACAGCACTGCTCCTCCCCTACAGCTAATAGAGTTCTCTCATTGGAGTGTTACCATTCCAGACGCTTTCCGAGTGGGCAGGGGCCACCTGCAAGGAGAGCACTGCCTAGCGTCCTCGTTGTGTCCCGTAGAACAAGTAGGCGTGTAGAATCGAAGTGGTCATCATGTGCTCAACAGAATTTCCCACAATTTCTAGCTGTGCCTTTTAAACCATGCAATATTCAGGATAGTCGGAATCAAAGAGTAAAAAGCTGCTATTTAGGTAACTTATTTGTCTCTGGGAAGGGGCAGGGAGAGTAACCAAGCAATCTACCTCCAGTGCTCTTCCATTGTGTCTAGAAACATTGCAGAGTGCGCCTGAGGCTGCACTAACCTCTGACACTTGTTCTTGCATGTGACAACAGAAAGTCTTCAGGTAGACTTGGACATTTTGTGCTTTGGAAGCACTAAAAGGAAAAATAATATGTATATTTTCTTGGATGTTTATATAAAAGTTTATATGGAGCAGTATTGTTGTTTTTATTTGTAAAAATGTAAGTGATCAAAGAGATTTTCACTTTGCATATATGAAATAAAATCCTTTTATTGATTTTCAAAAGTTTATTGGCAATACATTTCTAGCTGTATGTGTCTTGTCATGGCATTCCTTTCAGAAAAACAATTGCACATTATTATAGTTAGAATTTTCTTTGGTACACCAACCAGCTTCCAAATAAAGAGATAGAGACTTATTAGTTATGAATGCTCAGCCTTAGCTTAGGTTTGTCCCACTAGCTCTTTTAACTTAATTTAATCTTTCTATTAATCTACATTTTGTCTCGGGTCTTTTTACCATTCTTTCATTATGTATAACCCACTTTTCTGCTTCCTCCAAGTCTAGCTGGTTGGTTCCTGGCATTTCCCTGGTGTCTCTTTTTCTTTCTCCTTTATGACCTAAATTCCTCCTCCTACTTACTTTCCCTGCCCAGAAGTCCCACTTATACCTCCTCCCTCGCTATTGCCTAGTCAGCTTTTTATTAGACCAATCAGGTGTCTTAGGCAAGTAAGGTAAAAGAGCAACACATTTCTTACATACTTAAACAAATGCAACATGTCTTTGCATACTTAAACAAATATTCCACAACACACTATCAAACAAATTAACATGTTAACAAGAGGGTCCATAAGATGGCTTAGCAGTAAAAGCCCTTGCCACCAACCTTGATCACCCAAATTTGATCCCTGGGACTCACATGGTAAAATGAGAGAGCCAATTCCCAAAAGTTGTCCACTCTCTTTTTTACATGCACATTTTGGTATGAACACATGTGTGTATTTACATAAATAAACGAGTATTTGTTTTAAATGTTAAAGGAGTTGATCTTGGAAGCATAACTCACAGGACTGAATGGTGATATTAGAAGGGTCTGGGGAGGCCAGGCCCTCCCAATTGCAAGTAACTGGGGAGAGAAAACTGCCAAAATCAAATTCATTGGAACTCTGAAATAAAGCCAAACAGTTTTTCTCCTTTTTCCTTTGAGAATTTCATACAATTTAGTTTGAACATACTCACCCCTGCCAAGTCCTCCCATTCCTACCCTCTCCACCCCACATCTCTTCCCACCCAACTTTGAGATCTCGTTTTTTAATTCTTTACTAATCAAGTCCAATATGTGTGGCCCAGATGGTCAGGGGAGTGCAGCCTGACCTGGTGTGTGAACAACTTACCCAGGAGGCCCATCCTTAAAGAAAACTGATTCTTCCTCTGCCAGCAACTATCAGATGCCCGGTAGCTCCTCAGCTAGTAGTGGAATTTCATGTCTACCTTTCCGCCTCCGTGCTGGGATTTTGTCTGGTTGGAGCTTGCACAGGTCTTCTGCATGCAATTGCTGTTAAGTCATTTGTGTATCTGCCCTTTATGTCTGGAAGACAGTTTCCTTGGTGTTATCCTCTAGCTCTCGTGGTCTTTCTTTCCCCCAAAGATCTCTGAGCATTGTGGGGAGGGAGATATATATCACTTAGGACTGAGTACTCCAGTTTCTTATTTTTTCACATGTTGAGCAGTGGAGTAGCTCTGTTAAGTGCCATCTGCTGCAATAAGCTTCTCTGATGAGAGGTGAGAGGTGCACTGATCTATGGGTATAGCATGGCATTAGGAGGAATTTTTATACTACGTCCATTGAGGAGAATGATAGTATTAGGTTCTTCCATAGGACCTCTGACCTATCCAGTCACAGATTCTTGGCTACTTGCACAGTACTGGGCATGGGTTACTTCTCATGGAGTGGTCTTAGGTCCAGTCAGAAAGTGACTGACTACCCCCACAGTGTGCCGCTATTGCATCAGTGGGCACGTCTTGTCACACCCTTTGTTGTAGTTTGCAGGGTTCGCATCTAAGTGAGATTTGAGGATTTCTTTCCAGCAACATGCATAGCATCTTCTAGCACCATGGATGCTAGCCAATAGGGATGAAACTCCCAAGTAAGTACCAGCTTGATTTCTCCATGTTCTATGACTTACTTTAAGAATGGAATCTTATTTTCAAGTTCTGGAGGATGGCCAAGTATTAACACTAGTCTATAATGCTTGGAAGTCTATGTCACCCCATTGAGCAACAACAAAAAAGGTAGCTGCTGTTGAATAGGTTCCTTCCAGATTGAAAAAAATTCCATCATTCAGGAAAGCTCCTTAAAAGAAGGTAAACAAAGAAAATAGCTTCAAACGGTCCCTGAAACTGACCAGACTGACTAGGCCCCTCTTCCTCAGAGTAAACAAGAGTCACTTTCTGAAAAGAAGCTGCAAAGAAGACCCTTAGACCAGATCAACTGCCTGGAAGAGACAGACCAACGAAGCTACCTGGAAGAGGTTTAGATAGACTGAAGCACTTGCAATGGACACTTTTCAACCTGTTGAGATGCCTGCAGGCTGTACAGTGTGCTTCAGGTTCCCAGCTTTGTGAGCTCTCACCCATGCTGGGATGGGCTTTGGCAAGTCACTGTCTTTGAGTCATTTTTGCTCTTGTAAGTAACCCCTCATCCATATTTCTGTCAGTAATCCTAATAAAACTCAAAAGTTCACCATGTTGGACTTTGGTGGTATTTGCACTTTGGCCTGGGGTGTGTAGAGATGTGTGTAGACTCTCCCTAGGAAAAGTCTTGTCACGCAGCAGCAACACATTATTTATTTGCTAGCGTGGGGCGTTTAGTTGGAGTATTGTTCCGGATTTGTAGTAACCAAAATGAAAGTGGAATAACGTGGAAAGCTATGAAAACATAGTAGAAGAGCTTGGTGGTGCTTCAGTGTACACTTGTGCAACCCTTTTCAAGATATAGCCATGGTTTTTAAGACGGCATAGTAACTGGATTTAATATAGAGACACTTTAAGTCAGCTATCTTAGATAGCAAAGAGCTAAAGGAAATATGGATAAATAACTGCATAAAAGCAGGAAGATTATGTGTAAATAAAGATAATGAATAGGTGAACAAAAAGAGAGGCAGCAAATAGACCTGAAAAGTATAAAGACTGACATGGAGAGTTCCCTAAGAGAGTTCAACAGCAGATTTTAGAAGACAGAAGAACCTGTTGTTAGAAATCATCCAGTGTGAGGAGCATAAAGAAACTGGGGTTAAGAAAAATGAAAGGAGCATAGGATATAACTGTCCAAAGACCTGGGTTCCTAGACTCACTACTAAAATAAAACAAAATGAAAAGCAGTAAGTAGAGTTTGACAGACTCACTGTAGCCTATGGGCCACAATCAAGCACAACAATGTATGTTTTAGTTACTTTTCTGTTGCTGTGACAAAACCCTATGACCAAGGCAGAGGGTGATCCCATAGCCATCATGGTGGGCCCATGGTACTGGAGCAATGCTTGAGAGCTTACATCCTTATCTGCCCTAAGAGGCACAGAGAGCTAATCTGGAATGGTGTGGTCTTTGGAAACCTCAAAGTCCACCCCTGATGTAGGTGGGTCTTCTATCTATGTGTTGCTTTCATTGGTTAATTAATAAAGAAACTGCATGGCCTGATAGGTCAGAACATAGGTGGGTGGTGTAGACAGAACAGCATGCTGGGAGAAAGAAGCAGAGGCAGAGAGCCGCTTACCATGAAGCTGCCAGATCAGACATGCTGAAACCTTCCCAGTAAGCCACGACCTTGTGGTGACATACAGATTATTAGAAATGGGTTGAGTCAAGATGTGAGAGTTAGTCAATAAGAGGCTAGAACTAATGGGCCAGGCAGTGTTTAAAAGAATACAGTTTCCGTGTAATTATTTCAGGTAAAGCTAACCATGAGCCAGGCGGCAGGAACACAGCCTGCCACTCCTATCACAACACACCCCTAGTAACACAGTCCCAACAAGGTCACACCTCCTAGTCCTTCCCAAACAGTTCCTCCAGCTGGGGACCAAGTGTTTACCTATATGAGCCTATGACGCCATTCTAATTCAAACCACCATAGTGTACGTTAATAGGATTCCTGGAAGAAAAGATGAGAAAGCAGTATGAAGACTATGTAAAGAAAATATTTAAAGATCTAGTAGTCCCAAACTGTAGTAAGACAGTTCAGTCACTTTCTTTTGTGTCCTGCAGAATGTCTCATAGACTCTTTCATGAAACAGGAACCCCAAAGGACCATCTCATCTTTAGGTAAGTTCAGCAGTCCTCTCTCTGGGTACTGCATGTTCAGTTTATGCAACAGTCCAGGCAAGAGCAGTTTTTTGCCCAAATGGCTAACCAACTCCATAAAAAGCCTCTTCAATGCCCATTTTCTTCTTGAAGTAGCTGGTGCTGCCAGGAGCAGACATGTCTCATTGACATGAAAAACCCTAAATTATTAAAACATTTTAAATGCCATTTTCTGTAGTCTTTGAAAGATGTGAAGAATGCCTATCTAACTGAAATATATCTCTATATATCTAGAAAAATCTAACTAACATGACTACAAGCTTGACTATTATAGATGATAACCTATTAACCTATATTTTTAAATTATACATTACATTTTTAAATGAACTACACAATCACAATACCTTAATTATGATCAGAAATATGCATATAACAAAACTGACCTTAAATTAATATTAGTAAACCAAGATTTATATCAATGTAAATTATTCCTATCTATATCATATCCCTCTTTAAATGTAAAAGAACATTTATAAACAATTTAATAATAAATGTTTATCTGTATACCCATCCAACCCAGGGAAGTGCAAAGCAGAAAAATAGAGTCCCTGACATAATCAAACCATTAAGAGACAGAAGATTCTGAAGACCGCCAGAGTATTTTGTTATAGACAAGAGACCCACCCTAATTTAAAGTTTGCTTTCTTATCAGAAGCACAGAAAGACAAAAAGCAATAAAATAACACTGAAAACGCTAAAAAGAAGAAGGAGTTGTGGCTGTAGCTCTGGCAGAGTACTATGTAGTCCACACAACGCCCTGGGTGCTATTCACAACACTGCACAGATATGGGAGGGGGGGATTAGAGCAACGGAAGGGAAGTGCTGTCCATCAGGAATGGAATCTCCAGCCAAACAAACCTTCAACTAATGAGGGAGAATTTAAGAAAGTCTCAGGTAGGCAAAAACTTCCTGCAGTACCACTGTTCTCCAGGCTGAAAGGAATACACGGACACAACATAGCAACTGGCAGAAATAAAGAAATCCTCAGGGAAGGTATCCAATGAAAGTAACTGCTCAGGCTCCCTTCACGTTTTAGGTTAAGGCTTGGGAGGTGAGGATAATATAGAGTTAGTAAAGAGACAGAGTTTCTCTTGGTGACAAACACAATGGGAAAGAGTCCTAATGGTTGCAGAATAGTGTGCATGCAAAGTCAATGAATTGCACACTGAAAATGGGTGAAAATAGCAAATTTATGCTATACATATTTAAGCATGATTTTGAAAATGTCAGATACCAAAAGCCATTGAAGTGTGACTTAAAATGGATGGTTGGCACAGTGAGAGTTATGTGTCAATTCGTGGTTGAATGTTGGGAGAAATGGTTTTTGAAAGAAATTATGTAACCATATGCTGTGTGCAGGGGGAGCATTTGAGATTCAAAGTCACAGGCAGATTGGAAATGAAAAGGTAAAAACAGTTACTTTATTGCAAATGATCAACAATAAGGTTGGTGACAATATGAGACAAAATAGGTATGAAGCTGGAAATGGTTACATGGAACAGATAATGACCTGATATATTAATAAACGGGACAATTCACCAAGATGGGAAAATTACAAACACAGGCAGTAAGTGAGAAAAAGGAAATGAAACACAAATTGAGAGAATGAAGAGATAAAGAACTCCACAATAATAGTTGGAGACCATTAGGACGAACTATTCAGAAGATGAACAAAGAAACAGGACTTCTTGAACAATGCTAAACCAAACAAAACCACAGTTATATTCGACGTACCTGTAGAATACCACCCATTAAGTTTATCGCATTTTGTGCATCCATCAGGATGACAGCTAATTTTGCTCACCAGCTCCAAAAACACCATTTTGTCCTGCGCGGTAAAAAAAGAATCTGGTTCCTTTAAAGATCTTTGTTGTGGCAATTGCCACTGAAGTCTGTCTACAGAGCACTCCTGGACACAAAAAAGCCCAGCTTCCTGGTTTTCTTGGCTGGTAGCAGCCAGTTTTCCAGGCTTGTATGTAGCAAGTTTTGGTCAGTACCCCACGGCTTCTCCACGGCCCAACCGGGGCAGAGCCCAAGTAGCCCCGCAGCAGTAGCTGGCCAGTTAACTTCCTTTCTGGTCTTCTGGGCCAGTAATAAATCAGAGTCCTTTGACAAGACTAGTGCCGCTCATTTCATTCTGTTCCAGACGCACCAGGGGAGCATTCTCCAGTGGCCAGTGCGTAGAGTACGGGTTTCTACAAAGTTCCAGGTAACTACACTGCACACAACTGCACAACCCCTAGGCCTGCTCCACCATATCAGGATTTCAACGCCGAGATGCATGCACTGTTCCCTGGGTGAGTGCTGTTATTTGGCGTGGAACGCAACTCCAAGATGGGCATTCTCAGTCTATCGTGGAGTCCTGTGCCATAGGATTTTTATGATGGCTCTCTGAGGATACCTCTGAGAGCTAGAGAATGGCTTTCCTGCAAGCTCTCAACTCTTTTGTACGCCTGGGTGGGTTTCCCTCTGGTGGGGTTCTTCTTCATATCTCTGAAGGACTTCTGCCCAATCAGTAACCACTCGGCTCGTGGCATGCTCCATCTCTGCGCATGCACACAGAATCCTGAGGAGGATAGAATCCTGTGATGCCGGAGGAGAGTCGGTGAGGCCTAACGGATCCTGTTCCTTTCAGCCTCTCTTTCGCTACCTTCTCCGTGATTCTTCTGCTACTTTTAAAAGTGGAAAGGTTTTCATCAAGTGTAAGTCTCCACTTGGAAGAAGGGTTCTTAACTATGAGAAGGGCCTAGTCTATTGAGAGGGGGTGGGTTTTTTTTCTGGGTCAGCCATGTTGGGTTGGGTCTCATCAACACAGGGGTGGGAGTTTTCCTTATGTCCTCAAAGTCAGCCAAGCTAGGACCTGGACTCAGCTACAGAGGGGGTGATAGCTTTGCTTGTGTCTTGGAATTGAGCCGTGTTGGGCTCTAGAGGTGTCAGTTTTTTCTTGGGTCCTTAACGCCAGTTATGTTGGACCCAACTCTACTCAGGGGTGGCAGTTTTCCTTGGATCTTTGAACTCAGCCAGGCTTGACCCTGACTTAACTTCCCAGGGGTAGTGATTTTTCTTGGGGTCTTGAATTTGTAATATTGGGGGGGGGGGTGTCTCAACTACCTGTAGGTGTTGATTTTGTTTGAATTCTTGACCTCAGTCATGCAAGAGACTCAGCTTCAGAACTGTGGCTATGCCCTAGGGGTTTAGATGAACACTTTCATGACCATCGGTTGTGTGTAGAGAGAGAGAGACCATGATGCTCAGCTTAAGCCATGGCGTGGGAGATTTCACCTGGATCCTTTTGGTCCCGAGGGAATTTTTCCCTAAGGGCTCTATATAAGCCTTCAGCTGTTGTCTTGGGCACCCAAATCCAGTAATTTGGGAAACTTCCAACGGTGCCACCTATTTCTCCCAGTGTGTTGATTTTTTTTTTTTTTTTTTTTTTGTCACTCGGTTTTCCAGTTTTGCCACTCAGGTGGCAGGATGTAGATCACTCGCTGTGTTGGGACTTGCAATTCTCTGATGACGAGGGAGATTGAGAACCATTGTGTTTCTGACTTCCTGCTAATTTTGTTGGGATGTTTGTCTTTGAAAATGTAGTTTGTGGTTCTGCATATATCCTGAAATCTGCTCATTTGCTGCTGCTGCTGCTGTTATTGTTGTAGTTATTTTGATTCAGGCTCTCGTATCCCTCAGGCTGGCCTCAGATTTGCTTTAGAGCTGACCTATCAACTCCACTCCTGGCCCAGCCTCTCCTGGGCTGAAGTTACAGATGTATATTACCACATCTGGACAGTTCCACTTCTTTTTCTAGACATACGTGCATTGATATATATGCACACACTCAAGGAGAGAATTTTAAATTTCTTCTTTGTCTCCTTTCTGCTTTTAAATTTCTGTTTTCAGTTGGGTTCTTGCTGTGTACACCAAACTGGCCTCAAACTGCATTCTCCTGCCATAGGCTCTCCGATGCTAGGATTGCAAGAATGTGCCAACATGCCCCGTAGTAACACTATGGAACTAATGTCTTTTAGTTGAATGGAAATTAAAATTCAATCTTTGTGGCCAGTGGTCTTCTTCTTCAAAAGAAAAGCCTTAGTTAGGATTGCCTGTTGATACAAGACTATACTCCTAGCTACCTGAAAGGTTGAGGCAGGAGGAATATTGCAAGCTGAAGGACTGTCTGGATTACCTAGCAATTTCATGCCAGTCTGGGCAATAAATAAATAAATAGATAAATAAATTATAAATGGACAGACTAAAGATGTGATATTATCTTTCTAGAAGGAATCTATGTTAATAAGTTTTAAAGACTGACTTCTACTCCATGTAAAGATTATTCTATTCTTTTCAATTTACTGAAATATCCACTTTCTCTAAATGATGGTTTATACTTTCTATGTAATGAATTAGCATGTCTGTCAGTGTATTACTAGGTGTTAAAGGTTTGGGGCATGCTTTCATTGATACTTGGATGTGTATTTACTGTTTGTGTTTACTCTACAGAAATATAGGTGGCTTGTGATTCTTGTCCTTAGGTCTAGAAACTTGGCTAAAGTCACTTAGTAACTGCAATGGTTTTGTGTCATTTTTAAAAAGTCTGTCCAATTATAAATGTCACCTGTGGGTAATGATATTTGCATTAATTCTTTCCCGGCCTTTATGTTTTCATATTGCGCTGACTCTGCCACATTATTAGAACATTTAACATATTGTGGGATAGAGAGTATGCATCCTTGTATTGTGTGCAATTTGGGGAAGAAATTGCTTGATATTTTAAAATGGAATTTGATGTTGTCACAGATTAGTTTTTAGTTTGTGTTGTAGACACACTTTATTATTAGTTAATTGTGACAATGGCTTGTGCTACAATATTGGGTGTCATCAAGATTGCATTCCTCACGCATTATTGCACTTTACTCTTGTTCTCCATACAGTTCCTTCCCCTCTCCCTCTTTGCCCCCTGCTACTGCTCTTCTTTCACCCAAATGAGCCTGCTGCTGCTTCCCATTGTGTATACGTACTGCTAAGTGTAGACTGTCATATGAGAGAAAACAGGCTGTTTTGTCTCCTGTCGAAACATTCAGTGTGTTGCAGAAGTTGTTCTGTCTTCTCAGTTGCTTTCAAGTCCTGAAGAGGATTTGAAGGTTAAGGTGAAGGTTAAGGCATCTTTTAAATGACCAGCTATTTCCCTAACCCTTTCCTGCACTTTTAGTTGATTGAGGTTAAAGCAGCCTTGCCCCTCTGCACGGAACTGTACCATGACATGCTGCGTGCTTTCCACCCACCCTTGGATTTTGCTTGCTAATTGCTTATTTAAGATGCTTGTCTCTATTTTCAGGAGAGATTGTATCCCATAGTTTTGTTTCCTTCTAATATATTTTATGTTGATTATCATTAGCTTTCAATTGTCTTCACAAAATACTTTAGAAATTGACTCATTTTTTTTTCTGTTTGTGATAGAATTTGCTTACAATATTATACCCCCTTTGGAATTTTTACCTAAAATATTATACCCCCTTAAGAGGACTTCTTAACAGAAGCCTTGTAGATATGAAAGTTTCCAATTTTGCTTTAAGAAATTTTACCAAATAAAAGACATTTTGATTTTGTGTCCCAGAAGGGACAGATTTTATTAGGTAGTTTTTTTCCTATACTGTATTGATTTTTATCTCACTTCAAACATCAGAAGTAAAATGTCTGCTATTTCACCCCTGCCTTCTGGTTTTCTGGTTATGTAGTCTTTTCATTCTTTTGTCTGCTCACACTTTGTTTCTGAGCCATGGTCTCATCAGTAGAGGAGACTGACCTTGAATTCGCAGTAGCAATCCTACTGTCTGGGCTCCGTGTGCTGCCCTAAGAAGCTGAACCCTGGGGCCAGCTTGGGTGCTCCCTCTTGGGTAACTGCTTCTTCTGCTTTGCCTTTTAATTTCCCACCACCACTCTCTGATAAAACGTAAGACTTGTATCTATTAAGACTCACTCTATGACATGAAATGTGATCTGTTTGTAGAATGTTCCATAGGCTGTTGAAAATAATAATGTGTTTCCTAGCTATTAGATGGAATATTCTGTACATGTCTGTAAAGCTGGCTTGAGCCATGGTACAGCTAAACACTGAAGTTTCTTCATTGGTTTTCATGTCTGACAGATCTATGGATTGATGAGAATCTGTATTCAAACAATCACTTTTATTGTATCTGGACCTACCTGTAGTAGGTAGTTTTTGAGTCTATGAAATCAGGTGACCAACATTTGCTGAGTGTATTTATAGTCGTTACATGGTTTTTGATGGATTCTCTTTCTTAAAATGCAGTGATCTTCTTTATCTCTTTTGATAGCCTTCATCTTGAGGGCAGTGTTTCAGAAATGAGTATAGCTGCCCTTGCTCTTGCATAGATTCTGTTTGCCTGGGAATGCGGTATCCCATACTTTCACGTTCACTGTTTCTGCTTATCCTTGACAGTGAAGCTCCTTGAGACAGGAAATAGTTGAATCTTATTTTTAATCTCTTCATCCAATCTGCATATTGTAGTTGGAGAGTTAAGATAATTTCTATTTATAAGGTATATATTAATTTCTCCTATATGCATCTCAAAGCTTTGTGGGTTTACTGAGAAAAAATATTTGCCCCTTTCAAAATTCCCACTTAGCTTTCTATTCTTCTGTTTTTCACTCCCCAGGCTTTTATATTGCTGCATATCTTCTATGTATAATATTCTATTAACTCTCTTTCAGTGGTGATATCTTAGTGATGATGAATTGCTTTAGCTCATCTTTATTGTGGAAGGGCTTTATTTCTCTTTTGATTTTAAGGATAGAAAATGAGGTAGTAATAATCTTGGTTGGCAGTTTCTCTCTCTCTCTCTCTCTCTCTCTCTCTCTCTCTCTCTCTCTCTCT